ACCAAAGCGGACAATATCTATCGCTTCCGTGCTGCGGACTCTGATATGCGAAGACGCGTTATAGGTGGGATACGAACTTCGGTTCATRCCCATGCCAGGAGAAAACCGTGCGGCTACCGTGATCCGGTTAGGTGCGGGTTAGTCAAAGCGGACAATATCTTGCTATGGGGTTCTGGGGGCGTTACATTTACTTTATGCAGATGTTATATGTTCAAGCAACAACATGTGACGGCATTCAGAACCAACTGCAAGCATATCCATTGAGAACTTGGACATTGGAGTTACTGAGGAGAARACAAGACTTGGAGCTTAGCAGAGGGGGTTTTGGATACACAAAATTGAAATGTACTAAACCCATTGAGCGAGGTTCGTACGATCAATCAATTATAGATCATCACACAGCAGAGGATATACCTGCGTCTAGCAAAGCCAAAGAAGCAGGAAATCAGAATGTTACTAAAGAGGTTACTTCAATGATCTCATTCAATTTCTTGCTCCTTTGTACATATTCAGTCAAAAATTCGCATGTTATTCTGCCTTTCGATTGTGCATAATTCCTTATTTGTTATTATGGTGTTTATGGCCAATTTATGAACACAAGTTAATAGTTGATCCGTTAATTCGGTGGGGCGTATATGGTTGTGTATATGTGGACTAAAAAAAATGCACATATAGTACAAAAACAACACAACTGTTAAATTATGTTCCTAGTGTGTTCATGTGGTTCATGTTTGTACTAAAATGTAATTATATGGGCCGAAATTACCAGATGGTAATGTTGTTCATTACTTAACAGCTGGTAATGTTGTTTTTTCGGGGGGTGAAAGTTTGGGTATAAATGTTTGAAACTTCATCATTATGTGTTCATAATGTTGACCTATTTTTACAAGCAGTGTAAACATGTAAACCGTCATAAATATGAGTCAATATGTGTTCACCAGCTGTGTAAATGTGTGTTCACATGATGTGTAAAAACTCACAATTCGAGTTTCATGCAATTGAATGTGAAAGTTGATCAACCCGTTGTGTGCTTAATGTACAGTTGTGTCTGATTGTTATCGTCAAACACACAACCTTGACTTAATTATATATACAGATTGCACATACAACACTGTTACGTGTTTTTTCTGCTTTTACAGATTGTGGATGGTTTTGCAGGAATGCGTAATTATGATGGGTGAGCGAATCGAAGATTTGTTTTCTGCAAGGAGGGAAGCAGACACAATGTTGCAAGCCTACATAGAACGTTTTCCCGGTGAAAGATGTTTCGACCAATTCAAAAAGGAATTGGCGAGAATGTTTAAAGGCAGCATGTGGGARTGCCGAAACGATGAAGGTCAACCTAGAGAAAAAGAATTGCCACATGTTCATGTAACACCTCAAAAGATGACGACCACATCCGACCCGGCAATGTTATCACCTTTATCACAGTTCTGGACAAGCCCGACCGTGATTGCCGAGGTTGACCGGGCGTCAAATGAGAGAGCTTCTATCACAACAAAAGGAGTAGGATGTAACACATACCCGAAGCAGTTTGAAAGGGTGAAGATGACATCGTTAGAAGCACCATTGGAGAGTGTTGGTAGGGTTCGAAGCAGAGGCATCGATGAATGTGAGCCTCGTACAAGTAAACTACGTAGACGTGCACAGACAGGTAATCGATATGCCTGTTTTTAGTATGTTAGGAACGTCACCTCGTTCCCATGTTTATGACGCATATAACAAAGTGTTTCACGCATTGTTCATTAATAGGTTGTGTAAGAACATCGTGATCACGTTGGTTCATAGGTTGGCCATGTATGAACACAAATTAACCAATTGCAAACATGGTAAAAAAAAAACTCCCCCGTTGCTAATTCACGTGCATATCGTGTTCATAGCGAATCATACTGGTTCACACAACAAAGAAAAGATGCACATATGTACCAAACGGTCTCACACAAAAATCATAACCATGTCGTATAAGAACAACATAGTGATATACCAAACAAATGACAAGCATTTTATAAACACCATTTGCATGCCCGTATACTTTCTAGATTTTATACTATCATTCGTGTATCAACGTCTGAGACATTTTATTCGTATGCAGAAATCGAGGCGCCAGCTTTCGATTTGGGAATAAGTCCATCAAAGGACGCGGTCATTGCTTGTATTGATAGTTCGAAAGCAACAGGTGGACAAGAAAATGTGAGATCTGAAATTCCAAAAAGAGATCCGAAACTAAGTTTTAAACTACGATCACC